GTGTGTGTGTGTGTGTGTGTGTGTGCGCGCGCGCACGTAAGTGTTTGTGTGCAGAGGGGGGGGGGTGATGGTGGTGTTTTTTCGTCCCGTTGATACAATTTAGCGTATTTGGGAGGCGGGCTTCCGACGGTGCCTGCCAGGGCCAAACCGGGCTGAGAAGAATACAACATGCCAGCAGAAAGACCGAGACACTCAATAGAAAAATATATCCCACTAGGGAATTGAACTCGGATCTCCTGCGAGCGACACCAGAGCGCCTGAGCTCTACACCACACAGACAGCTATAAAAGAAAAGGGTACACTGAAAAAAATATTTCATACGTCTATTGTGGACTAGAACATTTCAGTGATTTAAGCTTACAGTAAACTATTTTCCTGCCTTCTAGGTTTTTAATTTCAGATGTAGCTTGCGTTGTCTCTATGTTTTAACATTCCTGTGGCAAATTTCCAAATTCCCTTCAATGGAAACGATGTCACTTACTTTTACGGCCTGCAGTTGAGATACGGTGATAAATTTTGCACCACGAATAGTCAGGCTTTATGCACAGGAACAGACTTTCGAGCATTAAAATTTTGAGGTTTTGTTGTGGTCTTCGTTTTGTTGTCGATTTCGCTTTTGCAAGCTTTGTTTCGATTTGTTATTTGGGTTGTTTGGGTATTATTAGTTTGTTCGTATTCTTAAAAGGGGATGGGGGTGATGTTTCGGCGGGGGCGTCGAGGGGGGTGGGGATCACTGTTGACAGGTAATTAATAACATATACATGTATTTAAGAAAGTTAAAACGAAGGTTCGAAAGTTTAGAGAGACACATTTTTGAGAAAATGTGTTTGTCAACGTTTACGCCCGTACTGACGAAATTTAGATAAAATAGGAAGCAGACTGCCTAAACCCTGCTAATAAGGGCCAACCCGCGCTGAAAGGGATACAACGTCCTAACAGACAGCAGGTGATATTCCATTTTTTAAAATCCTCTCCACACGGTAATGAAAATCACGTCTTTTGCACACAAGGACTAAAGGCCTTACAATCTATCTTTCTATATTATCATATTATATTATACTATATTATATTATATACACATGATGTATTGTTACACCACATAGACCTGTACAGCAGGGAAAGAGACACTCAAAATGTGAAGTGTAGGATAGATAAAACACGAACTCGCTATGAGCGGAGAACAAAATGATATTTTTAGAGTTAAACACCTGACTTATAGTTCGAAGAAATTCTAAATAAATACATTACGAGTACCTGTGTGAAAGAATAAAGGTAGAATAAAACTTCCTGGTTGTGGAAATGTAAGTCCGGGTCCACGTAAAGTTTCTAGAACTAAGACTTGGACAAAACTGAGCAAGGCGCCATCCACTAAAGCTCGTGTTGAAAACTACACATTAAAAAGGTCCTTCACGATGTATATATCTCATAATAATAATATCACTTTTTCATGGACATATCACGCATAACCTGATCATCCATTCGCACAGAGAGAGAGAGGACAATACATGTAGTTTGGTTTATCACAGAATTGGTGTGAAGCCAGGGCGACACAATGAACAAAACGTGCCTCTCTCCGCGCCTAGACTGGATATAAATAACTACTAGAAAGAGAGAGAGAGAGAGAGAGAGAG